GGGGAGGTGGCGACGGCGGCTGGCGTGTGGCGTCGCCGTCGCCGCTCCGCTCCGCCAGTTCTCCTCCGCCGGCGGTCCGTTCTGCTCACGCGCTTTGGCCTCCGCCGCCGCCGCCAGCCACCATGCCCGCTCCAGGTGAGTGTCTGGAGGCCCAGCGGCTGGCCGGCCACGCACCTCCCATGCACACACTGGTTTCCGACGGGCCACTCCAGTTCGTTTAGCAAAAGACGTAAAACAGACGCGACACATCGCTGTGATTAACACTTTCACATCCCATTTCATCACCAAACAAATCTAATGCCGATGTTTCGATCCCCGATTGTGAAGCTTGTTTCCGAAAAATGCGAAATTCACTTGGGCAAATTTTACTGTGGAACAAAGAAAAAACTTACTGTATCTAAAATAGTTAAGATTTTAAACCAATATTTCATTTTAAGTTTTTCTGTTAGTCATTTGAATGATTTAGTGCCAAATTGAAGATTTTTCATAGTTTTTTCCAAAGATATAAGGATTTTAATTTTGTATTTAGTACGTTTTGGCATCAAAAGAACAAAAATTTGAATATAGGTATAATTTGAAATTAAATAAAAATGAATATGTTGTTTTTTGAATATTCGTTTTTATAAAATCACGTTTAAAATATTAAAAATACAAGAAAAAAATACTTTTCACTTTTACTAGGTATAACTTTCATTCATAGTAATATATATCCATGCTATCAGAATCTTAATCTTATTAACTCTTGTCTTCTACAACTTTTTGTTTTGCTATGAAAGGTCAAGCAAATTTGCTACATTTTGCCTTGGAACGAGATATTTGCCGACCTTGAATGAACTAAATTTGGATGTTTGAAAAAAATAGCGCATTTAGATATCTACATTGACGAAATATGTACTGTCATCTAGAGTTGAATTTTCGAAAATGTTTTATTCGTACCTTTTTCGAAATAAGCCTCTTAATTTGTAATCTTCTTCAGGGAATAAAATACATCAATGTAAGTGGTATCGTAGTAAATTAATAACCGCATTTTGAAATGTTCAAAACATGTAATCCATACTACATTACTTAAATTACCCAACAGAAGAATCAAATAAATATTTAAATACTATTGTCAAATACATTTTATACTGTTATGCCAGTCCTTTCAAGTATAGTTAATTTTAAATATCTCAGATGCTTCATAAAATAAAGATCAGATATTATCTTTAACATATTGATTCGATGATCATATACCACCAATTATGAGCCAACTTATATGTCCATAACTCCTAAATCCGAAAATGATAAATTTCAGACGCTACTTGGAGTGTTGATATGTTCATCATGTCTCGAGATCTCCAACTTTCGATAGAGGATACCAAACACTGTAAATTAGATGGAAGCGTGAAATAGTGCCGTACCTCACCAACACGCTATTTTTTTTATATTATCGGCAATTTAATAGAAATGCCGCAATTATTTTTCATTTCGAAGACACGAGATACTTTCTAAGAAAATGACAGTCACCATGTAGCCTCCGCAAATACAAATCTCCTCATTGGCTACGTGTTTTTCACTTACATGTAGCATTATAACTTACCTTTTTCACAATAACTTTTCCCGTTTGAGCTGAGCTTATCTAATAATAAAAACGAAACATTTTCTTACTGGTAGTATCTTTAGTGATTTGTACAAATGATGTTCTGCATTCAAATCCTTGCATCCAAAGGCGAGGAGTCCCAAAACGTCGGTCCACTTCGGCGTCCTTGGGTGTAAACGCGTCGGTGTAGAGTTCACCGGTGCACTGCACGTTTGTTTTGTATTCGTCAGCAGGTATCATAGTACGCAGGAGTTATAAGCCAAGTCCTCAAAATGATTTAGGGTCCTCGCACTGTGTGAGATAACAAATCGGGAAAGATGTGTTTCACTAGAGAGCGAAGGTTTTCGCAGCGTGTGGGAAAAATGTGCGAGAACAACCTGCCGGTGTAGTCTTCTTATTGTAAAACATTTTTTTTTGCTTGTTCTATAATGATATTACTCAAACTCTACCTTAAATAATAGTCACTCTTGTTTTGTACTGTTTAAAGACAACATTTATTTAAACAAAATTGTAGTTTGTTACTCAAGGCGAAAAGCTTTTCCACAGAAATCAAAATACTGAAGTTGTGATTTTTAACTACAGGAAAATTAATTTTACTAAAAAGAATATCATTTTATGAATGCTCTTTATGTTTAAAGATTATATATTACTTTTCATAATAAGTTTCAGGTATTTTGATAATATGTTATAACATTAATAGTTATCATTCAATGCACAATGAAGTTTTATTTGCATTAATCCATATTTATGGAATACATGTATTAGTACTTCCAGTGTAAAGGGGGAACACTGACCATGTATTTTAAAATGGAATATTATAAAGCACTTGTTATAATTTCGTTGCTACTATGCTTAAAAAAATATAATTGCAACGTTAGCAGTCACACCAATGCCTTGTCCACTTTCATTTACAAATATATTTAAATTGGTTTATATATTTAAGTTGGTAAAACAAGACATAATTGCCTCTGAGGAACAGAAGTAATTTTTGGATTTGCTTGCTATCTTGTTTCTCACTGAACTTATTCCTTTACTTACCAGCCATTTGCGTAATACAGTTGTTTCATTAGAAAGTAATCAGCAAAATGTGGCTGCGTCATAGACTACTGTACATCGTGTCTCTTGTAAAGCATTGCAGGACAGCTGTAAGTAGATAATTTTTATCGCTATTGCGCTTATGTTTCCCGGTGGTAGAATATAACTACAAAACCAGAATTCAAACAAGAAGACGAATACGAATATTTTCAATTATTTACCTACGACCACTACCTAGCTCAGTAATTAATATTGATATACTTTATTTACGTGGAGATCCTTGTAAATTTAGACATCAAAATGTCTGGAGAAATTCACATATTCCGAAAAAAATATATATTTCAAATAAACGGTCGATATTTCGAGAGTAAAATACATCTGTCCTTCTTCTGGCATCCATTTTAAGAAATATAATTTTGAAATTTTATATAGAAACCCACATTTTTATTGTACATTCGACTACTTTAGTAAAATGTAGATAACTTTTGTCTAAAGTAATCGCATATGTATACATTCACACAAGTTATCATGTGCTATTATATTCATATAAAGAGATGCAAATTAATTCACGAACACATACATATTTCATACACATCTACTCAAATTTCCCTTCGTAGTATATACGTAAATACTTTTTTACATACTTACATTCTCCGTTACTGCATTGCACTGCATTGCATCATAGGGCCTTCATATGACCCTTCATAGAGCCCTACACCTCCGTCTGGATCGCACATCATACCTCTTTAATTGAACATAGTTGCTAGGGCATCAAGTCATTTAAACTTAATTGAAAATTGGGGATAAATTCTCGTCGACATCCTGCGCGAGTGCGCCATGTAATGCGATTACACGATACAAGTGGTGGATGGTTTCTGCTAAATAGTACTGTGGTTAATGCCAGGCGGCCATCAGAAGCAAGTTCCTGTAGGCTGCTGGCTGCTTCCATTACTATTGGTGGAAATGGGAGGTTGGTGATAGTAGGCGAAGCAATATGGGGTCGACGTTAAGAACCTGTCTTTATTGTCATTTAACAAACTTGCGCAGTATGTGCCAAGGTTTTCCAAGCTAGCGAATGAAGAATTATCATTATCGTTGACAACTGGACTGGTATAATACTCGGGCTTTGGATAATAAATTTTGTCAAGTTGCATGCTTTGTGTTTACATTGCTTGTAACAAAAATAATTGAATCACATAATTAGAACATACCATTAGCGATGAGTTATAAAGTACAAAAATTATTAAAGAAAAAATGTAGAATGATCTTTTAATAGTAATATTTATTGTTTAAACATCAAAAATAAAGTATTGTTCACAAAAATATAAATTTTTAGCATCAAACATTTCCAGTTGTTTTACGACATTTCATTACGTTATTTATTCATTTGATTACGATATTTGATACGATTATTATTCAGTTACAACCAAAATATTATTTTCAATAAGGGCTGGTAGGCAAAATATTGTATTCACATTTTGTTAAATATGACGACTTAACGCATTTCTTTCGCTGAATCCTTTTAATTTTTCTTAGGTGCAGTTCAATGAACAAGAATATGCGCTTCTTATAATTATTTCTCGTAAATGCACAACTTTATAAAATGATCGCCAGGGTCGGTCCGGAAATCGTAAACACAAAGCCTTTTGGCCACGCGTGCAGATGACTGCGGTCGCCGGATGGATGACGACCAGGCGCTAGAAATTTGCTTGACGAGTTGAAGAGGAAGACGCTTTGCGCCTTCGTGAATCGAATTCGTACGTAGACTGCTCCGACCGATGATTTATTCGATCCCTTCCAGGCAAATGCCGCAACGGCTTGATTTAGTAACAGATGACAGACATCATTTCATCTTTCCTGATATCTGGAGTTGGATATCTTGGGGAAAATCCCATCAGCAAGCTCTTATGAGATGGAAGTATTTTGAAACAAAAATCACACTAATAATAATAATAATAATAATAATAATAATAAACAAACATGTATTCTAAGAGATTAAAAAATATGTTTTTCGTAGTAAATCAAGACCAAGATTTCTGTGAATTTGTTCGTGAATTAAAGAACAGAAGTATATTTGAAATGTTTAATAACCTCAAAATTCAACTGACTCTGTATTTGTACAGCTGTTGTAGATGAATTTTATTCTTAAACATTTTTATTTTAAAAATGTAATCGCCGGTAATATTTACCATTACTATTATTATTATTATTATTATTATTATTATTATTATTATTATTATTGTTTACTAAATTAACCATTTTCTATAATATTTGAATATATACGTACACAGACAAATACGGAACAGAATCCTTGATGGTATTCTGGCACTTGGGGAGGTAAACCATCTGAAAGGCAATTGAAAAACTTTGTTCTCGACCGACATCCATATTTAACCGCCGGAGTGACACCTGCTTCTCGTCGCTCGTTTTAAAATACCGCGTGCCTGCCGTGTTCAGAGTAGTTCAGCGAGATAACCACTAGCGTGCCGCTTGCCCTCCTTCTTCCCAGTCTCTCGCCCGC